TACCAAAATATTTAATCATAATTTAGTTTTCGATGAAGTTTTTTTCACAAAAATTAAAGTTATATCATCATAGGTATAATAATAGGTACTTATAGGTATGTCTTAAACCAAGTGCTTTGGTATAGTCATTATATGAAGTTTTTCTTTAGCTTTGTTTATTTTTTTCAAAGAGGTACCTAACTATTTAACTTCCTTTGACTAAGTAAACATTTCATCAAAATAATCACTGTGTCTTCCAAATAATATTACAACTATAGCTCAATAATTATTATCTTAAAAGTAAGCTAAGACTTGCATAATAATTTATTAATAAGAATTTTTTATAAATATATGTATAAATAAATACCTCAAAAGTCATATCAAAATATAGTTACAAACCAAATGTCAGCAACTCTACAAAGATTACTACCTTCTTGTGTAATACAAAGTCCATCTTCTTCTAAGATGTGAATAACTATGCACCCTCTTTCAGTAAATGTTAATCCTTAGGTTATATAGTTTTGTCATAATAATCTTCAAAAGATGCAATGACGTGATGACATAGTTCCCAACCCCCTCAAAAATTTAGTTACATACCTAGTTGCTTGTTATCGTCTGTTGTATATCGAAAGTCAACAGTTATTAGAAAGCGTAAACTAGCGGATACTAGATTAAGAATTCAATTTAAGAATAGTCCAGCTTTTTTAATGAAATAAGAAGTTAATAAAAATTACATGAAATGCCATTAACCTTTATTTACATAGGTGCAATTTACAATAAATCACACACTATATACTAGTGTGTATTTTGCTAGATAGATATACTCACTTGAACTTTGCACTTAACTATCAGAACCATAAAATATGTATCCCAGCTAATAGTCGAATATCAAAGCGAGGCATACAATTCTCAAGACATTGATTAGGGGCTATCTTCATAAACTGAATATAATTGTCCAAAATAATTAGGTAATGATTCTAAGCGTTTCAAGTCAAATTAAAATTTCTGATCACTAAAAGTCGACAAACATGCCAAAAAAAAGAGCAGCTGTTATGTTTTTAGGATCGAGACCATTTTATGGAAAGAGATAATTTGCTTTTATTCATTTAAAGAGATGAGAAAAAAAAACTAAAGGCAATGCTAGGACAATCTGGTAGGGTTTTCGGAATCAAAATCACTTACAGTGAATCTTTCAACCTAAAACCATTCAAGAATTATATACTTAATAATAATGATATATATTTATCAAAAAACCAATTTAAAATTAATAATTTTATCAACTTACTTACTGCTGCCCTTGTCTCCCAGTGGAGCATAGGGCTTCAATGCTTAATCTTAATCTACTAGTTTAGGGAAATTATTGAAATACTTTTTTTTTGAAAATTTGTGTTCATTACTTAAATTAATTATTCACTTTTACTTTTAACTACTTTAGAATGCAATTTTCTCACTATGATAAAGTAGATTAATAAAGTTCTTATACACTAAACGTTTTTTAAATGTGTGGAAGTTTTAAACCTATAGATAAGTTAGATTAGAGTGACGGCATTGTGTACCAAGAAAAAACACTTGAGTTCAAATTATGGATCACAGCGTTGGTTCGTTCATAAACAAGGTGATCAGTATACGATCAACGTCGAAAAAGCAACGACTCCCCCATTAGGTGAAGGTAACAACCTATATACAACCTATATAAACCTACTGCATCTTAAATATTTGTAAGTCTACAACTTGAATTAAAAATATTAATAAATAATATTTATTATTTGTTTTCTGGAAGTATTATCAAACAAACTTTGTGAAATCAACCTTATTACCATTATTTTTATATATTATATCTTTGATTAACCATATGTGCTGCTACAAGCAATTTGATCATAAGCTGAAATTAGTAATTAATAAAATCTTAAAGTAAGCCTATATAAAGCAAACTAACTCTATCATAAATCAACAAAATCTTATAACGACACCCACAAACTTAGTTCAATTTGGTTTGTATTGTGTAAACATAAATTTTAATCAAAGTGTCTCTTTTATGTTTTTTTTCTCGCATATTAGATAGATGCGTTCATCCGTTGACAAAGTACAAGTATCTTATAGTTTTTAAATAAAGAAGCCACACACCTACGCAATTAGTTACTTGATCGCTTAATTGTTCAGTATATCTAAATTAGGTAATAAACTAATTAGACAAAAGTTTTGATTGAAAAATATATGTAAACAAAAATTCTTTACAAAATTTTAACATTTTAAATATTTTTGTTTCTAAGCTTTATTGGCATAAATAATATTATTCATATTATTATATAGGAATTTATTACAATTAAGTAATTCAGGTTATATACAACAGTAGATACTTTTTAACTTCGGTGTAAGAAACTATTGAAGATTGAGATAAAATATTAATTTTTTAAATATTAATATATTCTCTCTAATAATTATTATTTTTATATTAGCATATAAAGATTCTAAGTTAAGCAATTATTTACAAATATAGTCTCTGAAAACCAATCTTATGAAAACAGTTGCAAAATAAATTTCAGAACTGAATAGAATAGATTTTAAATAATGAAAATTTTTGTTTCCCATTTAACTTTCTTTTACTTACTTAAATCTTCCATTAATTTGACTTTCAATATTAGGTCCCACCCAGCAAAATTAATTGGCAGCTTTTATTAAAAACATAAAACTCATCTACTCAGCTACGTTTCAAAAGTAGAATGAAAGTACACAGTTTTGTGGCTGTTCGCATTATCAAAAAATAAAAACATAAAAAAAAATATGTTGTAGGCCAGTAACATCAGTTGCTTTCAATTAAGTATCGAGTAAATGTACACTTCTAATGTGAGAAAATTTTTAATTATTTTCACTCGCAACTTCAAGATATGAAATCACAATTAAATCTAATTGTGCATTAAATTTTCATGCACTACATAATGCTGACAGCAGTATGAGTTCCGTACAATCTAATAAACACTTAGACTAAGTGAACAGAAAAAACTTATGTTATGTTTATGTTAATATATATGTATATATAACACTAAGAAAATAAAAAATAAAATAAAATTAATTAAATTAAAACTAAATTTAAAAATTGTAAATAAGACGCGATAAAGAAAGTACTCATGACCGATTATAGGTTACAATTATTTGCTAAATAATCTTTAAGGTTTTTAATCTATAATTTTATATAATTGATTTAATGTGCTTACATTTAACGGTTCTCAACCAAGAAACGCATCTATAGTAAAAGAGAAAAATATTGCTTCTAAGCCGACTAAAAAAAATCTCAAAACTTTAAATTGAAATAATTTTTTATATAGAAAACTTATAGAAAATCAAAAACATTCGTTGTGTAGAAAATCACAATAATTTCATACTTTAGCGAAGTACCTACCACGGCCTAAGTAAACGTAGCTCTAGTGAGTGCAAAGTATCTTCAGCTGCTGCCAAAGCACCGTTTTATTTCCCCAACTACTTTATTCTGTTTCACTTCTAATCTGTCTTTCTATTTTTTTTTGCTAAGTATCTAACAGCAGCATCTGAGCTAAGAACCGTTAAAGTACAAAGTTGAGTTAAGCTTTAATAGGGGTGCTTAGGCGTTAATGAACTTGCATCAAAACAAAGTTGAAATATGAAATAGAATAATGAGCAAGTCACTTCGTAGATAGTTTTGTTTCTGTGTTGTGTGAAATAATAGCTAACAACTTGCTTAGTTAAGAAAGGCAACAATGGCACAGCAGCTGAAACCTTGACAAGAGCAGAATATGTACATAGACTGGAAAGGTTGGCGGATGAAAGAATTAATGCTAAGTCAAATTAAAGTGGAAACATTACATGAATAATTGAAAAAAGCGTTATAATTATTATCATTAAGATTCTTGACATTTTGAAGAAGTAGACTTATTTTCCGGTACAATTTGTAGCTACTATAGACACAACAATTGGCATTTTAAAAATTAACACTTAGAAAAATATTTCCTTGAATCCGTAAATAGTTTATTTTAGATTCAGTTTGCTATATAGGTACATTTATATTAAAACCAAGAGCAGGCTTCCTATTTTTGGGGTGTTCCAATTTGACAATGGGCAATTTGAAGTTGAGCATTCTGAGCAATTTTTTCCACTATACTATATGCTATATGAAAAATGGAAAAAACTGCTCAGAATGGGGACTTCACCTACATACGTCACCAAATCGGGGTGCCTCAGAAATAAAATTCTTGCCAAAATAAGAGTTTATACATGTCATTTAAGTACGTTTTATACTGTAGATGGTTTTAAAATTTAGAATTGATGCTTGAAATTAATATAATCAAGCATCTACTTCATATATTGTCTTCACCAAAACATTTTCTAAGGAAAATACTTTTAAAGATGTTTATCAAATATCTAAATAACTTGTTCTTTTATATTACAATTCAATTAAGAAGGATCGGATAGAAGGAAGCATTACAATTCAATTAAGAAGAATCAGATAGAAGGAAACCGAAAGTATGTCCTCGTATATCACAAATCACTGCAGTTGATGTAATGTTTGTAAGTCGACTTCCGAAATAAAAATTGAATAGTTTTTAGTTGGAAGGCTGGAACACATTTGTCGATATTACTGAGTATGAAACTAAGTCCCAACTATGTTACTATAATAACTTAAATAGTTATCAAATATCTAAAGAAGATATTGTTCTTATTGATAATCACTTTTCATGAAGGCTTTCAAAGAGAGAAATGAATGGTTAGTGATGTTTAACACGGACTGGTTGTTACATCTATTGTTGTTTTCAAAATTACAGGAGTGAAAAATATAGCATACTAGGTGACCCCGCGAACTTCGTACCGCGTAACAGTCAATAAATGTTATACTAAATTATAGGTAAACTAAATTTAGAAATTTATTAAAGTAATAAAATGAATACAAAAAATTTATTGTATTCAATAGTTTATTAGGATATTGATATATAATTAATTATTTTAATAGTCTGTCAGCAAGAACCTATGGGTTGCACTCCGATTGATTCTCTTCAATAAAAAACCTTGTGATATACGATATTTTTTGTTTTTTTATTAGGCGCAAGAACAAATAAAGCAGATGGTTTGCCTACACGTGAACATGCCACGTACAATTGACCATGAGAAAAGCATGCATTTTCTAGATTCAGACCACAAACACTAAAGGATTGGCCTTGTGATTTATTTATAGTCATAGCGAATGCAATCCGTATAGGAAATTGAATTCGTTTAAACTCAAAGGGCATATCGATTGAGATCATTGGAATCCTCGGAATGAGAACTTCATCACTTTTGAATTTTCCTTTGAGTATCATTGCGTGAATCACATTGGCCATCAGTTTTGTTATCACTAAACGCGTTCCATTGCATAGTTTTGGTTGGTTTAGATTTCGAAGCATAATGCCTACCGAACCAATCTTTAATTGTAAATTGTGCGGTGGTAAGCCAGGCACATCCAAGGAGTTCAAAAATTCAGTTGGATAGTTGGTAACTTCTTCTTCGTTTGTTACATAGTCAATAGATTTGAATGTATGCAGAGTACCAACGATTTGATTTTGAATTACAAAGTTTAAGTCATTCACATCTTTGTTCTTAGCTGCCAAAATTGCTCGCTCACTCAACCATTTTTTGTTTTTATGATTATCAATGATCGGAAATACTTCATTGATGAGTTCGTCTTTTGATGAAACGAAATTGCAAAAATTTGAAAGAAATGCAATTAATCCGGTCGATTCTTCAACAGCTACACGGCCATTACCGATTAACAGCAATTGCTTGGAGAACTCTTCAGCAGATGTATCGTTTACCAATACAACTCTCATGTTTGTTACCAGTGAAGTTTCTTCACATAGCGCCAAAGATTTGATGATTTAAGGCAAGCATTTATTTCGTCGGCAGCAGTCGATTTTGGAATGACTGGGAGTGTTTGGCGAAAATCGCCAGACAGTAAAATCATTGCGCCTCCAAAACATCTCGAGTCATTGCGATGATCTTTCAATGTTCTGTCAAGTGCTTCTAATGCGCGTTTGTGCGCCATTGTGCATTCGTCCCAGATGATGATTTTAGATGCTACTGAAACTTTAGCCATTGCAGAATGCTTCGCAATATTACATATCGGTTGCTCGGTAGTTTG